CGAACCTTTTCAAGCTCAATCGACAAATTTTCGACTTTCGAATTTAAAGAATCTATTTCCGCATTCTGTTAAAATCGTAAAATGAAATAATGTCAAGCATCTGATTGTTGATTTTCCTTCTATTCAAAATATACGATTCAAACCTTACTATCCGATGTAGTTTTGATCAAGCTTTGCCATTGTTTTACATCATTTTCCATCGAGGTTAGTTGGGCCCTAAGTGACTCCTTCTCTGCATCTGCTATTGTAAGTTTATTCTGAATTCAAAAATAAGGATTAAAATCATATAGTAAGAAAATTTCGTGCAAGATGTATGAAATATTTATCGATAGTCAACCTTCCATTGATATTCGCTCATTTTTACAGATTGCAATTCATTTTGTAATTCGAATATTTGCTGTTGAAATTGTGACCGTAAAATCGTAATTTGTTCGAGTGTGTCTTTTGTTGAACGAAGAATTTTTTTAGCATATTATCGATGATGCCGATTTGATTTAATTTAATTTATGTACCTTTTGACTGATTTATTTCTTGATCTTTGTAATTAATAAGGGCGCGTTTGCTCTCTTTTTCCTCTTCCAGACTCCTTTCCATAAAGGCTAATTCTAAATGTAGCTTATCTAATCGCTCATTTGCCGCTTTACAATCATTTATGGCTTTAGTTTTTTCCTGTTCTATAAGACGAATCACACAAGTTAAGCACAAAAAAAAAGGGAATAAGAATTAACCATTTTTTTTATAGCTTTCGACTTACCTGCTTGGGTCACATTTTGCCGAATTTCTTCTAGTTGATGCTTTTGATTTTCGCTGAATCTCTGTAACCTTTTAAATCTCGTATTGGAATCCTGCAATCTTTGTTCTGAAATCAAATATGGAGGTTACAAGGTTTCCTGTGTGATTTAAAAGCCCCTTTACTTACCATAAATCGAACGAACTGAATTCAATTCTTGACGCAGCCGCGTGCACTCTTCGTTCGTTGTCATATTACGTGTAATGGAGAGTGTGTATAGAGAGTTCGGGTTAATATTTTATCACGTTACCAAAACAATTACGTATTTCCATTTATATAAAAAGATTAACAAATATAATAAATAAATAAATATACAGTATATTCAGTATATATAGTATATTACCTATAAACTAGATAAATTTATAAAACTTTAAAATAATTTTTTTATGATATTTTTTTAGTAATTTATAGTTTAATAAGAAAAAATTTTTTTTATTATAATATAAAAAATATTATCAGAAATTAAGATTAATATATTGTTATAATTCTTAATTTTATAATATTTTTAAACAGAATTCAAATAAATTTACAAATTTATAAAATAAAAAAATATATATAAATTTTGTAAATTTCTATAATTTAAAAAAGTTTATTATTAAAAAAAACTTTTGTAATTATGTTTATTTTGCTTAAAATTTCCATATATAATAATTTTAATTAAAAAAAAATATTTTTTGTTTTTTATTACAAGTAAACTCTAGTTTAGAAACCCAAGAATATTAAAGATAACTGATATAATAAGATGGAATCTCTGATCAAAATCTATTCAAGTTGAGAGTCTTGTTTATCTTTCAATTATATAAAAAAAGGTTTATGGTAATATACTTTTATTTTTTGATTTTCTTGCAATTCAAATCCTTTTATTATTATAAAAATCATTCTTATCAATATTATTATAATCATTATATTTATAAATATATTTCAAAAAATATATTTAAATAAAGTTATAGATCTAATATTTGTTTCAATACAATTTTTATATACATTTCTATTCTGATATTACTTATTGTACCATTCAAAAAAATTCATAATCTTTTTCAATCTCAAAAATTAAAATCAATTTATTATCTCCAATTAATTAATATTTGGTAACTATTCAATCAAAATTTATTATATTATTCAAACTATAATAACAAATTGATTTAAAATAGTTTATCAATCCAACAATAATAATAACAAAAATAATAAACAGCTTAAACTAATTTATTTATTTAATCTTTATTACAATAACAATAATTATTATAATAAATATCTTCAAGTACAAAAGATAAACAAAAATTTATAGATACTTTTAAAAATTAAAAATTAAATTAAATTAATAAAATATTAAATAAATAAAAAATATATTTAAAATCTTTAAAAACTAAACTTTTAAATAAAAAAATTAAATAAAAATTATGCAATAATTTTTGAAAAAATTAAATTTAAAAAATTTTAAAAAATTTTTATTTAATGATTATAATATACAAAAAAAAAATTATATTTTTTTAAATATCTAATTATATATTTTTTTATTATTAATTTATTTACTATTTATTTATAAATATTTATATAGCTAATTATATTTTTTTTAATATTTTGTAGTCTCTCCTTTAATTGCAATACAAGTTATAATACAATGTGACATATTCTTGATTAATTGTTTACAATATACTGGATTAATTTTATTCTAATATTTTAAAATACAATTCTTAAGCTCCATTAAATTATTAGGTTTGGTTTTACAAATCTGAACTTTAATATAATGTCAAAGATTTTTAATTGAATTAAAATCCAAATTTTGAAAAAACTAGTTTATAATTCAAATATTTTTATTAACAAGAAATTTTTTCATAATTTTTATATATGGTCCCGAAAATTGAAATCACATAGACTTACATGGACTCACATACATATAAAAAACATATATGGGTTATAACCCACCTATTAAATTTATTATAAGAGTTGGAATCAAATAGAATCAAACACAGAATCATTAGGATCCTTATTTTTATAACATATGCCCTTGTATTATTATATTAAAATCAAGGGTAACTATTATAATTTCAAATAGTTCCATTGAAATTTTAAAGGGCTGGTAGAAAATAATCTTAAAAAGTTATAATATATGACTTCACTATAAAAGAAAAAAAATAAGTTTAATTTTTTTTTATTTAATAAACTAATTTTTCTTATCTTTAACTGAAGTGTAAAGAGGAATAAGGGAGTCAACACTGAATCATGAAAAATACTTTCAATATATACAACTTGAACTATGATTAACGGTTGCAAAAAGATATTCAACATTCTACTCTTTATATGGATTATATTAAATACAATATTTATTTCTTTGATGGAATTAAGTAAATATAAACTTGTTACTCTAAACTATTTTTTTAAAGTTTTGAATGATCCAATCTTTATATGCAAGGCAGTCAGTCTTTAATATTTTTTCCAAAAGGAAGGGCTTGAAATAGACAATATAGCTTCTTAACTGTTTTTTATATAAGGTTCAACAGATGATTTTTTTAGATACTTTGATTTCTGTTTTGACTATAAAAAAATTGATTAGTTTTATAGCAGTTACATGTCTATTATCTTTTTTATCAGTAAAAAATTTTTGAGAATAATATAAATATACTTATTGAAAAGTCGTAATTATTTCAATTATCTTGATTGTTGTATTTTCAATTCCATAAATCCAGTTTTAATAAAATATTTTATAATATTACTTACTATACTTTTTTTGTATTTGACATTAACCATGATATTACAATAGATATCTTTTTTTTTATAATTATAAATTATGGTTACTTTTTGTTCAGAAATTAATTCTTTATTAGTAGATATTAGTAGTTATATGAAAATTGAAGTAAAATTTTTAAGTAAACAAAATATATATATATATATATATATAATATATTTTTATAAATTGAATATATATATATATATATTAAGTATATTTTTATTAAAAAAGTTTAATTGGTTTTTAAAAATAAATTTTACTTAAAAAAAAAAAATTATTCATAAACTTTTATCTATCATCTATATATTTTTTATTATCTATATTAAGAAAAGAAATATTAACAAATTAAAAAAAACTAAAAAAATGGAACAATGAGTCTGGCCGAGGATTTTCTTGAGGATTAAACTTTTATTTTTATGGATTTTATAATTTACTTGATTTAGTTTTAATTATAGTTACCTTTATTTTTTTTTTTCAAATTTTCAAAATATAAAATTTTTTTTTTAAATAAATAGGCATAGCCTACTATTCAACATTTATTTAATAATTAATATTGTTTAAAATTTCTTTTCTGTACTAGTTAAATATTATATAAGTAGACAAGCTAATATTTAACTTTTTGTATACTTTTGTATCTAAGAAATATTGGTTTTTTTCAAAATATATATTATTATACATATTAAATAAATAAAAATATATTAAATTATAATTAAGTTATAAATATAACAAATAATTGCATTTTATTTAATTAAATTTATTGCTAAATACAATTATATTATATCTAAATTATTAACAAATATTTATTAAATAATTATATTGATTTAATATCAAATAATATCATAAATTTAACTTGAATTTAATTATAAAAATTATATATAATTTATCAATAATTCAATATATTAAATAATCAAATTTTAATTGTCCGAAGCAAAGCAAAGGACATTCTATGTTTACGATCCCTGATGAAAATAGAGGTCACGTGTGGATTCTGTCCGTCACGCTTGTGTAACGCATGGTTTTTTTTTTAATATAAAAAAAATAAATAAATAAATAACAGATAAATAAATTGACTACAATCAATATACACGAATAAGAATTAGCGGAAAGAATGCACCATTAAAATATCCATGACAAGGGAGGGATACTATACACCGCAACGTACGGTAATAAATTGACCAATAAAAAAAAAATTTTTTTAAATTGATATTATTGTTTTTATTATTTACAATTACAATAACAATAAAAAATTTTTTTTTATAATTGATATTATCATCTAGGTATCATAGAGATTAGACGAGCCTCCTCGTCTTTTCTTTTTTGCACTCTTTTACATTCTTTAATACGCTGCAGCCTTTCGAAACTAAACGGGCTAAAGATGATATCTTTAAGAGCAC